GGGACCCGCGTCCTCGCACCCGTCAACCAGGCTGATCTATTTTGCTTATCTTGCTTACCCGATCTATGTGTGAAAAAGGGAGGGGCTCTATCGCATATCACCCGGCATTCCACTCATGGCGGAGTCGAGGAGGGCCCGAGGTGTGGAAACTCGTCGGGCCTCACCCCAGTCATCCGCCGGATCTGTCTTTAGTAAGGGGTTTGGGACCAAGGTAGCCCCTGTATCTTTTTAAGTAAAGCTGGCTCATCCATCCCTCTTTGTTTCAAGCATCGAGGGAGGGACGCCGGGTGAGGGTAACCCTTCCACCCTTCTCAGAGCGACCCAGACTCCCGAATCTGGGCGCTCCTGTCTTTCTATTAAAATTGCAAGAGGAGCTGTTGGGTTGGGGTTAATACACACGGCCCCTCGAATGAGTGGGGCCCGGGGCGGGGGGGGGGGGGGGGGGGGGGGGTAATCAGCATGGAACAACAGAAGAGTGACTCGAAAAAGACCAGCTTCAAGAACAGTATCAATACAAGAAGGAGAAATGAATAGAGGGCCACACGGTGTACTACCAGCACGAAATTGCGCGATATATAAGTGATGAGCGAGCGTGGGCTTCACTGCATCGTCTGTCTCGCTCGCACGATGGTACGGCATCGCGACACAGCTCGACTTGCCGCTTGGGGCACCGAGCATCGAGCATGCGCCTCCGGGGAAGCGGAAAGCTGTGCTCCCTATCACGACACTCTCGACAGTTGACTGGCCAGACGCACATGAAGTCTGCAGGAGCGGCTGCACCACGTCGTTCGCTGACAATGCGGAGCGTTCGAGCCGATGCGAGTTGAGGGCGAGGTGAGGGCAGCGACGACGCTGGGTGGTTGGGCCGCTGCAGGCTCGATGCCAATGGTAGTAGGCCGCCCGCAGACGGTCTCGGTTGCTTCCCAAGGGTCCTGTACTCCAGGGTTTATGAGTAGTGGGCGCGCCAGCATCGTACCGGTTGAGGGAGGCGTTGGGGTTCATCCGGCTGTGATGCTGCATCGAGCAGACAGCGACGGGATGCCGACTGGGTGGGTGGTCGTTGGCTGGTGTGCTACCTTCGGGCTCCAATCGTCGGGATGAGGCTGGCGATGCGTCCCTGATAGAGGCAAGAGGGGTTTCCCTGGGTTGGGATAGGTCGTGCTGCCAATGCTGCCAATCGTTGCGCGTCTCTGGTCGGGTGTTCTGCCATTGTTTTCCTTGTTAAGTTTCTGACAGGTGACGGCGAGGCTTCCAAGCGTTCTGCCTTCGTATCGATGATGGACTTGGTGAAGGATTGGACCACAACCAGGAGTCTGCGAGGCATGGTGATCGGGGTGGTGGGTGATCCTGTGAGTTGGCAGAGTCTAGCGGGTAATTGTCATTCGGCTTGTCCACGCGTTTGATAGCAAGTCATGTCGGATGCGTCGGCTTAACCTCATTTTTTGATGTGCCCTCGATTGTCTGATTTTGCAGTACTTCTCGTCAATGAGGTATCACAAGATCGTCGGTCAGGTCAATGGATGGAGTTGGGAAGATTTGAGAGGACAATGGTCCCAGCCTGAGGAAGCACCAGCCCAGGCTCATGGGTGCTGGCCCCACTACGTCCTGCCGCTCCTTTCGCTACCTAGCAAGGTAGGCAGGTACTACAGTCATGCGACAAAAAGAACGACGGATTTCCGTTTCCACACAAGAACACGTAGTTTTCTAACCTCTATTACTTATTCTATAGATCACTATAAATAATGATTGTGATAAAACTTGTAGGACCTTACTGAATCTATAATATCTAGTATTCAGATTACTAATAGCTATTTCATTTATTTTATAATAGCATTTTGAAAGTTAAATCAGTATTTCTCATAACAAAAATTCGTCGCTCTTTTTGTCTCCCCACTGTACCGTAGGCACCTACCAGCTTCTTTCCGTTGGGGACATCGCGAAAAGGTACACCCCTTGTAACACTTTCCCTTCGTCAACATGGGAACGTCTCCCCTCGCCTCGAGCTCGAGCATCGTGCTCCTCTCGGAACCGCAGTGAATTTTCTAAAGCCCAGCCTCAGGAGAAAGCGCCCAAGCATGCTGCCTCCGGGATGACACTTGTTACCGAGCGGCAGCATGATCTTCTCAACGCCGACCCCTCTTCACAATCGACAATGAATGATAAAGACTCGAGGGCGTAGCTCGACCGTCTTTGTCGACATCATTCCCCTCGAAGCCTCTAGGCCATACAAAAGAACGCCTTGGGTCCGACGACAGCTTCGGCCGTGACACTTGAACAAAACAAAGAATCACGCTCCGGCCTTTGAGGCCTGCATTCCTGGTGCGCCCCTCTTCCGTAGGACGACGGATCTGGCTCGATGCCCCAACCATGTATAATCCTTCGGTTGCACGTCTTAACCACAAGCTTGTCTTTGGCTTCCCACCTGGAAGCCCGTTGCAAGCTCCATCATCCTCAGTCCGACCTGCCACTCACTCAGCACTGTCGCCATGTGTATCCTGCTCACCCGCTACTTTCGGTGCTGGCAAGCACCGGAACGAGAAGAAGATGCGACAGAAAAGGCCCGCGATGACGGAGAACCTGCGCCGAAGAGACGAGGTCAACACCCGAAAGCTGGCCACCGGTTTTGCCATGTCGTCCGTTGCGCCAATCCATTCCCCCGGACCTGCCTCGTCAGCCCGGCCCTGTTCGAAGTCGACCAGCATTTCAAGTACCCATGCCCGGAGTGCTCCTGCACCTATATCGAGCCTGCAGGACGTCCAGCAGAGGTGGAGTGTTTCCGCCCGAACGAAGACAAAGGCGGGTACAATAACAGAGGCAACGCCGTTACGCGCTGGCTCGATGCCGCTGCTGATGCCTACACGACCAAACTATGCGAATACCTGCTTGCCATGTTCTCCAAGGGTAACGTGACGTACAATTTTGCTGATCTCGTCCAACGTTGGAAAGTCTGCAACGTTGAGTCGGCCTGCGTTTTTGATCCGCAGCATTTCGACACGGCTCGAATTTGTGACTGTCAAGAGTCCAACACAGCGCCCGAGCTGAGGAACATGAGCCACGCCATCCGCTGCCGCTCGGCCCGTCGCGCCATAGCCGATGACGAGGTCCTCTTGGAGACATATGCACAGGTGGCACCACTACCAACAGCTGGCTCGACACGCAGAGCCCTCAAGCGCGACTATCTGGACAAACACCCTCCTATCCAAGCAGCCTTTCCATTCAACGGGATCCCCGTCTTGCCGATTGCAGGCTGGATCTGTGACGAACACGCATGCTCCCCAGAAGAGCTCTTTGCACGCATCGGCGATGCTGTTCAGAGTTTTGAGAGCGAGGACAACTGGGAAACCATTCACAAGGGCGAAGGAGGCTCGAGTACGTGCAGTCTTGCACAGCGGATCGAGATTCTCTCGACCGTGGCCGTTCTACTGTCCGAAGACAACGGGCTGCCGAGGCCACAGATCCAGAAGATCTTTCTGAACTTCTTGAACCTCTTGCGGCCTACGGACACTTTTTTGACCGGACCTCCTGTCACTGAGAGCTACGGGCCCGCTATGCTGGCTCTGCTTCAACTAGGAACATTCTTCGATGGCCACCAGCTTGCAGGGAATGCTCTGCTCGATCCAGACCGCTTTCGAAATCTCGTCCTCGCCCTGAAGCAGAAGCGGAGTCTTCGATTTGCGGATGAGGTTATGTTCGACGAGGCAATCCGAGGAACGATAGCCGAAGTGGTTTCGAAGCAAGAACTCGATGCCGACAACAGCATTGTATGCCTGCTTTGCAAAGACAAGCTCGTTGCCCTCGACCGGACATTCCTCGACCAGAAAGCCGCCGAACATTCAGATAACTACAGGGAAGGCCGCATTGCTATTCGCGTCAAATGTCAGGGTCGCCATGTCTTTTGCATCAAGTGTTGGTCGGGTTTTTGGAAGTCACAAACAGCCAATGGCCTGCCCAAGGTGCAGTGCCACGAATGTGACGAGGAGTTGCCTCTCAAGCGACGAGAACCGACTGTCCCGATCGTAGATGCAGACTATTTTGACCCCGCCAACACGCTGGGTTCCGGAGAGCCTCGACTGAACTGGGCCTCACTGGCTGCGGTTCCGCGGCACCCGCAGGATTGGGGCGTATGGGATCCGCTCCTCGGCGCAAACTACGAGCCACTGGCGGCTGCTCCTCCGCAGGGACTTTCAGATTCGCAAGTAACAAACACTACGCGCGATGGTTCACCGTTACCATCGAGGAAATCGCGGCTTCGCGCGGTTGATGAGATGAACTGGGTGGGCCGCGGCACGTGGCTGGACGATGGCAGCTTCCGCACGACGGCCCAGCGTGTCGACATCGGTGGTCGTCCGTTTGAGCAGCAGCTCGGCAGCATTACTACCTTTGTTGGTGACAATTCGGCGGCACGGCGAGGCACTGCCAGGCGTGCTGGGTGGACTGCGGCAGCGATGGCTGCGACTCAGAGCGCACAGGCCAACACAGGAACACAAGTCAGAAAAGGGGTTCGCTATCTGGGTCATACACTTGCGCAAAGCCGGGCTGCCTATCTGGAGAGGAAGAAGAACAGGTTGGCAGGTAGGATGCGTTTCAAGGCAGGTCATGCTTAGTCTTTGTTTGTTTCGGGACAATGGAACTAAAGATCGTTTGTTGCATTTCTGATCCCATCTTAATCTGGTGAAGCGCGTTCGTGATAGGTAGAGGTATCTTGACTTCATCGCCAGTTTTGAGCAGGCAATTACAGAATGGGATTCGTGGGGGCTCGGACACGAGGAACAAAGAGCACAATTGCCATGGTTGGGATCACGGACTCATGTCATCATGAATTGAATCAACAAAGCACCTTTGTTTCTTTGACGCGTACTCGAGGCAAGGAGGCGTACGGCGCATCTATTCAGAATAGCGGACTCAAGGTTCTCCGAGGCGACATTTATTCTAATACTCATGTCTGGCCGGTCTGAAGGCCATTCAAATGAAACCTCTCGCAATCCAAAATCTCCCGAGATACACACAATCGATGCACACCATCGAACGATGGACCCAACTTGGAAGGTGACGACAAGCGCTCTCGCTTCGCTGGGAGCACCACCCCAATCGCGAACATGGCAATTTGAAGACTGTGACTACTCCGTCAGCCAAAGCGACGACAGCCAAAATGACTCGGTCGCTGGTTCTTCTCCGCATACGCAAGGCTCCGAAGCATCCTTCTCAGGCAAAGCTGCTCTCGCAAAGGGCAGCTACGATTTTGACAAAAAGTGGACCGTGACCAACGAGCAACTCTTCGGTATGGCCTCCCCCTTCTTGCCCGGCGCTTCAGAATTGTGTGACTGACGGTTTGACATGCAGGTCCGAGTGAGTTGTTTGCGAAAGAACAAAGTCCCTTCCGCGGGTCTCTGTCGTCGTTCATCGTGTCAGACAGCGAAGAGGACGACAGCGAGGACTTTGACTACAGCTCCATCGTGCGAAGAATAGAAGCTCGTGGGATCTACTCCGCGTACGTCAATGACTTTATGAGCCCCGGCCACGACGTGACGACTACCGACGGCGACGTGCCGGCCCCCGTCAACAACGTAACGGCCCCCGTCAACAACGTGCCGGCCCCCGTCAACAATGCGGCGGCCCTCGACAACAACATAACAGCCGCCGAAGACGGCATGAGCCGCGTGCCGCGAACCTCTCATTCCACGCTGCCGAAACCCAGCACCGCTTCTCCCCCTCCGGTCATCAATCTGAGTAGCGAGCACAGCGATCCTGGCGACTCTGTGTACGGCTCGTATCCTGGCTCTACTTGCCTCGAAGACTGTGAGTGCGGGAGTCCCCCTTTGTGCTCTTCAGACGACGAGGTCGAGCAAGACGTAGCTGGATCGTCAAGGAGGCCTGCGAGGCCGTGGTGGCGGCGGACGTGGGCTGTTGTCTTGGTCGTATGCGTCATCTTGTTGGTGCCGGCTCCCGGGTCGGAGTACTGGAAGATCCGTAGGTGAGGAAAGACATGCTCGACTGCGAGGGAGGCATGCGCTGATCGGTTCACGTAGAGAGGTGTCTGCACTGTCGACAGTCGAGAGTCCGGAGCCAGTTAGAGTGACACCCCAGCTCGGCACGAGGCGATGTTGGGATCAAGCTTGCTGGGATGACTGGATGGCTTGGCGAGCCGATGATTTGCCCCGGCTCTTGGGAGACCTGGCTTACGCTTGAGCGGAGCACGAGGAAGGAATTGGTGGCGAGAATGCGAACACGAATGGCGTTATGGAGTTCAAGGCGAATATTACGAGACGTCCAAATAGAGCAATTCAAGAGACAAGTGGCTACATCGTGCAGTGGTTGGAGTACCTCTTGGCGAGAAGTGACCTGCGTGATGTGTTAAGGAGTTGATGACTCGCCGATTGACACATGACTCCAGCTAGACATAGATGTAAATCGATCTCGACTTACACGAAGACGATTGTTGCTTCGAAGCAGCTGGCACATAACTTGCGCCAATCTCTTGAATATCTAGGCACCGTAGACAACCTATTTGTGCATACAGCTCCTCAAACCCTGAAGATGCTTGATGAAGAGGCCAGAAACTCTTGAAAGAAGAAAGTTCTATCCAGCAAGTTCGATCGGCCTCGGCATCCATTTCCACAGGCGGACATGGTGTTGACCAGAGCCGATGAGCTCCACCAATTCCTTCATCTGAACTCACAACCTCATCAAGCCAGCAAACTCGCCAATCTGGCAGAAACCGACCATGGAGAAGGGGACAAGCATCCCCAGTCCAAGTGCCGTCGATTGCCGGGATGGCCCGCCAATCTAGAGGCTGTTGTGTGGGGAAGACTCCATCGCCGGCGCTTCATCCAGATGAAATGCGGATTCCACCATTCATCTCAAACGTCGACAGAAATTTCGCGCAAGGCACCCGGCTTTCTTGTGTTCTATCCTACTATTCTTCCATTCTATTGGCGTTGCCGGGCATGCGGAGAGCATCCTGCCTCCAGGCGCGCCAGAAGCCAAGCAACTAGGTGCTCATGTGCTCATGCCCTCCGCGTCAAAGGGCAGATCAACCACGGCGCATCAAATTCAATGGGGGGGAGATCGTCGGCGGGTCCGCCATTCTCATAACGTCCGGCACAGCGGATGCGGGCAAGCCGCTGTCGAATCCAGCTAGGTGGCCTCGTAGCCGGGGCACTCCCGGCACGACGGCCTGTCGATCGCCGAAGGATAATCTCGCAGTGGCAGATCCGGCAAGGGGTCAGTCGTGGTGAGCGCGTCACGGGGAGATGACAAGCTCCAATGCCTCGGGCAGCAAGACCTTGGTAGTTGACTGGACGAGACGATCGACAAATGCCAGAAACCATTAAATACCTTGCGACAGGCTGTCATGTAGCGCCTCGTCTGCTCTCCAGCCAGCTCTAGCTATCCACCGACCCGCTGATCATCGCCAACCATGCATCCACGCATCTCGACACTTCTCTCGCTGGGCATGGCCCTCGCAGGCCGTGAGGTTGAGGCGCAGTTTGTCTCGGTGAACGGGCAGCACTTCGCGGTCGACGGCAAGGACTTCATCTTCGCCGGCAGCAACGCCTACTACTGGCCTTTTAGCAACGTACGTGACCTGTCACTTGTCGATTCTGTCCGGGCAGTGGTGATGGGCGACTGACATGGGTTCAGACACAAGCGGACATTGAGCTCGGCATGAAGGCCGCCCTCGACGCTGGGCTCACTGTCTTCCGGACGTGGGGGTTCAACGAGGCCAACTCGACATATGACCCGAACGGCCTTCCACGCTACGGTCAGCAGGACCCGGCAACGGTGTTCCAGACGTGGTCGCCTGGTGGAACGGTCGAGGTCAACCTGGCACCGCTGGACAAGGTGGTCGCGGCCGCGGAAAAGACGGGCATCAAGCTCATCGTGACGCTGACGAACAACTGGGCCGACTACGGCGGCATGGACGTGTACACAACGAACCTTGGTTTCCGGTACCACGACGATGTGAGTCTGCCGAGCAGTAGGGCCGACATCTGGTGCCCCGTGATGTGACTGACATGTAACGCCGCACACAGTTCTACCGTCAGCCGACCATCAAGGCGGCGTACAAGAAGTATCTCTCCGAGGTTGTCGGGCGGTACGCCGACTCGCCAGCCATTTTCGCGTGGGAGGTCGCCAACGAGTTGCGGTGCGCGGCCGACGGGACGCGGAACCTGCCTTCGAGCGGTGACTGTACGCCGGAACTTCTGCTCGAGTGGGTGGACGAGATCTCCACGCACATCAAGAGCGTTGACGCGAACCACCTTGTGGCCACGGGTGGCGAGGGAGCCTTCAATCGCCAGTCGGACGATCACTTCTACAACGGCGGCGATGGCAACGACTTTGACGGCGAACTCAAACTGCGGAACATTGACTTTGGCGTCTTCCACTCGTACCCCGACTGGTGGAGCAAGACGGTCGAATGGACAAACCAGTGGATTCGCGACCACGCCGAGGCGGGCCGTACAGCGGGCAAGCCGGTGGTGCATGAGGAATACGGCTGGATGACGGACAAGGCGCGTCAGGAGCAGCTTGGAAAGACGGCCGACAAGGGACGGATCGAGGTGTTGGGTGGGTGGCAGGCCATCTCGATTGAGGAGAAGATATCGGACATGTTCTGGCAGTTTGGCTTCTCTGGATATTCATCGGGACGTAACCACGATGACGGATTCACCATCTTCTTGGATGATGAGGAGGCAAAGCCGCTGGTGTACGATCACGCAAAGGCCATGAACGGTGTTCTTGCATGATCCAGACGCAGGGGGTTTCAATAGTTTATATGCTTGAGATTTCTGCTGCTTTCGTGTGGATACTCTTCACTGACCGATGCCCACCGACACCGGAAAGTGTCTACAGCAACATCCCTTCGGTCAGCAGCCAGGGGGGGCCCCCATCTGTGCCCTGTCTGATCTACAACGATCCGTGTTTCCAGATGGCATCCGAGGTTTCGCATTGGGGGCCAAGGAGTCGAAGGGGCCACTGACAACAAAGGACTGACAGCAAGATGTCGCGTGCCATCCCGTTTTTCGACAGCCATGTGGGCTATACTGGGAGCTGAGAAGCACCTTGGTCATTGTCCAAGAGGGGCGGCAACTCTCGTCTCTGATCTCTTGCGACCGGCTACTCGCGTTCCCATCCCAAGTTTCCCCATGTCCAGCCGTGCTGAATCATGCCGACATGCTCTTTTAGCACCGACTGCGACACCAAATGCCAAGAATAGGGTTCTGTCTTGAGTTTGATCTAATGAGGGGGAGCATTGGCCAGAGAACAGACAGGAGCCGACACGAGACGATACTAGTACTCGTCTGTTTCCCGTGAGCTGCCAGCTGTCATCCTGGGTTGCGATCGCTTCATCGTCGCCATCTGGATGGCTGACTCTTGATCATTCGTTTCTCTCCTTTGCGGTCTCTCCTTTTGGTTCTGTTCTTCTTTCCGACTTGGGCTCGCGATCCTTGAGCCCTTGTTCTTTCTGTCATTGACGCTACGACAGTCGACTTGTCTGCGTGCGCCAGCTGGTCAAATCCATGCTGTCGCCACAGCCGTGAGCATCGATCTCCGTTGCTCGCCGTCGCTGGCGATGGCCCTGTCATTCCTTCTGTTTCTTTGCCTCGCTGTGTTTGCGCTCGCGTGGCCTCAGCTACCGGCCGACGATGGAACATTTGGCCTTTCAATGACGTTACCGGTGCCGGTCACCGGTGGCCGGGGGGATCAACATGATGGAGAAGCCTCACGACGACAGCTTCCCGTTGACGACGATGATGATGATACGGGCGCATTTTACACCCTTCCCATCATCCACTCGACGAAGCGTGGCGTCTTCAGTCGACAGATCGAGGTCGAGCTTGCCAACCGTTCTGATGTTGCCTATTACGCGCAGCGTGAGTCTTCATTTCGTCTGTACTGGAGCAGTATCTCACTGACAGCTGGTCAGTCAACATTGGCACACCACCTCAGCCGGTCTACGCGCAACTTGACACGGGCTCGTTCGAGCTCTGGGTCAACCCTGACTGCACCGTGCTGCGTCCGGCGGACCAGCGCTTCTGTCAAGCCGTGGGTGTCTATGATCCAGCCCGCTCATCGTCATCGTCCCTCCTTTCCTCAACGGCCTCCCTTCGCTATGGCATCGGCACGGCCAACATCAGCTACGTTCGTGATGACGTCTCTTTTGCCGGATCACCAGTTCTCTCTCACGTACGTTTCGGCATGGCTACGGCTACAACAGATCAGTTCGCCGGCATCCTCGGCCTCGGTCACGGCAAAAACTACACAGTCACCTACCCGAACATGATGGATGAGCTTGTCGCTCAGGGCGCCATTCGCACAAAGGCCTACTCACTCGCTCTCGGCTCCAAGACGGAACAGCAGGGCCTCCTTGTCCTTGGCGGCATCGACACGGCAAAGTACTCAGGTCACCTCGCGGCGCTGCCCGTGATTCCCGCCCAGCAGGCCCCCGACAGGGTCGCCCGCTTCTGGGTCAACCTCAGGTCCCTCGCCCTGACGCCCCCGAGCGGCGTCACCCGCGCCCCCTACGTCGCCGCCGCCGGCCTCCCCGTCTTCCTCGACAGCGGCGCCACCATGACCCTTCTGCCACGCGCCCTCGCCGACGCCATCGCCGCCGACTTTGGCGCCCCGCCCTCGAGCTCGCCTGATGACCCCGAGACGAGCCACACCTTCTACGAGGTCGACTGCAGCATGGCCGACGCCCCCGGCACCCTCGACTTCTCCTTCGGCAGGAGCCTCACCATCCGCGTGCCCTACGCCGAAATGGTGCGCCGCACGCGCGCCGACCCGCCGCGCTGCGTCCTGGGCTTCGTGCCCGACGACGACTTTGCCCTGCTCGGCGACACGTTCCTGCGCTCCGCCTACGCCGTCTTCGACCTCGAGTCCGACGTCGTCTACATGGCGCAGTACCGAAACTGCGGCGAGCGCCCGATGGCCGTCCGAAGGGTCCAGGACATTCACGCCATTGTCGGCCTGTGCGAGGCGCCGGCTCGGCCGTCGCAGGCTGTGGCTGCGCCCGACACTGCGCCGACGGAGGCCGCGACGTTTGCGTCCGGGCCGGTTCCGGGTCTTGTGGATGTTTCTGCGGCCGCCGGCTTGTCATTATCTAGGGCTTGGGTCTGGAGCATAGCGTTTGCCATGGTTCTGGTTCATGTGGCGTGAACTCCTTTCTATTCTCGAGTTGGTGCCCGTAGCGTGGCATCTGGCTTAATCTATTTTCTTCTTCTTCTTCTTCTTCTGACACACACTGCCCGCTTCCAAGCTCTCGTGCTGGGTTGTGATGCTCTACTGACCGAAATAAGAGAGAGAGTGCATGTCTACTCCCAAAACAGTCCTGGGTCATTGGCGCCCGCCAGCCAATTCTCCATGCAGCTGTACATCCGCCCCCATGTGTCTTGATCCTTCACCGTGGCGAGCTTTGTGTCAACCTCGTAGCCTAGAGACGCCTGCGCCGCCCCCAGGTAGCGATAGCCCTCGGGGTATTTGGCGAGGACCTCATCTGGGAACGTGGGGGCCGAGCGGCCGTCGACGGGCACCACGCGATCCTTCTCGTAGACGAGCTTGACGAAGCGGACTTTCCAGGCCGTCTGGGCCTGGTGCTGGACGTTGCCGCTTGTGGCATTTACTTCCTGATCGACAGCAATCCGATCTTCCATGGTTCCCGAGCTTATAGTTGCCGCAGAAGCATCGCATTGCTGCTCGTCGGAAGGTCCCTCCTCTGGTTTGGGCTTCATCTCACCCTCAACCACCTTGCCGTTCGGTGCGTCGGCTTTTGTATGGGGCTGGCCGATGTCACTGACGGGTTGTGCTTCGCAGAAGAACAAGAAGCGACAATCGCAGTCGACGTCGAACGCAGGCCCCCCGTTCACAGAGGTGAAGCGCTGAGTGATGGTCGCCTTCATCTTGCCCAGGGCGCGGCCTACTTCGCGGTTCAGCTCGACAAGGGTGCCACATTCGCGGTGCTGGATAAAGGCACCGGCAGCCTTGCCGGCTTTTGAGATGGATATAAAGTCGTCGATCTTTCGAGGGCCAGACCATGCTATTGGGAAACACTCATTAGAACCAGCTGCTTCAGTGCTTTTTCAGCTCAACAAGTGATGAAGGATTCAGTAATTGATAGCCAAAAAAGCATGATACATGTGTGGGCAATGGGTACTGGAGATGGAACAACGGACGGAGACTCACTTGTCCAGACGGTGGCATCATCTGCAAAGAGAGATCGAAAGTTCATCCATTCGGAAGCATCGCGGTAGACTGCCCAGCCTTTGCAGAGCTCAGATACAACCAGACGGTCGTGGAGGTCGGCGACAGTACCGTTGATATGACTGTACTGTCGCGTGTGCGGTTCTTCAGGGGTCGTCATCTGGTCTCTGCGTGTTGTATCACAGACGGCGTACTCGACATGAGCGGCAAGTGCATGGTCATACATCCTCACGGCGAGAGTGAGAGCGAGACATATTTTATACTCGACGCTGGTCTTCATGTCTGCGCATGTACAAGTGCCCTGTTTGCCCAAGAGGCAGGCAACGTGAATAGCCGGCGGACAGACGAGCTGTGTCTTCACCCCCAGATGCTGATATATTGACCGCAGCCAAACGGGCGCTCACTTCATCCTTGTGGCCAAAAGTCCACCACGATCACCACGGTACTGCTTGGCCAGACCGAGCAGGCGGCTTGCAGCATGCGTAAGGCAAACTGCGTGAAGCAACCGCCTGCGAATCGCTACGAGCCAGGGGCAGAGAGGCTGCAATCTAAGACAGCTGCTGGTGGATGTCGGCCATATCCACATCATCTATGATTTTCATTGCATGTAATCTTCGTTGGAGTGTCTCGACAAAAAATCACACACTCACTACCATACCCATTGGACAGAGCCTTGCAACCGCTTCGTGTCGCCACCCTCCGGCCGGTGAAGGACGGCGTGGCGCCGAGTGATCAGTCTCGGCCAACGGCGGCCGGGGACGTTGCCGTTGGTCAAAGACGCAGGCACCCGCATGAGGAGTGACAGCGGGCGGGAGGCTGCATCGGGTGGTCCAGCGGCGCACCAACGTCGACGACGAGATCAATGGGCCAGGGCGGTCATGTCACCTGCCCATCTCTCTCTCACTCGTTTCTCCCGTCTTGGCCATTCGATCGACCTCGACCTGTCAGGCCACATGTCCTCCGTCTCCCTGCCTCTCTCTCTCCTTGCTGTATTATCCCGTCGGCGAGTTTCTGCCTACTGCTTCATGTTGCGTCAAGCTTTTCGTCAGGAAAAGTTAAACCTGCAGAGGAGACCCTGCTCAAAGTCAAAGACACTTTCGTTTGGTGACCCTGGCGCGCCACTCCCTTCCAGTTTCCCCTTCTGTCTCGGCACTGCATTTCGCCGCCCGCCATGCGAGTCAGTGTGGTGCCGCTGACAGATACACCACTGGAGCGTCGCGCCATGGAAGAAACAGTTCCTAAGCCATATAGAGACAGGCTCAGGCACAGATACAAGTCACAAGGGGTAGCGGCGGGTTAGAAGGGGAGGGGGGGGGTGCCACTCACACGACCCCCCATTTCTGCCTCTGTCTCGTGAGAGCGCGCGCGCGCTCGCTGGGGGGTGACGCGAAACTTTCCCTCCCCCGTTCCCCGCCGGAAGCTTCGGTTTTTGTTCCACACGGCAGTGAAATACATGTCAAGGGCAAGGCAAGGCGTGCGATGCCTTGGTTGCTCCCTGTCGCCCATGCTCCACGTCGCCCTCGACCAGCAGCTCTGGCTTTCCCGCCCACACAAGCCGGGGCCATGACCCCCATTCATGCCACATGCCATGTGCTATAGCCCCTATAGAGGTTAGGCGTATGGGCATGTCTTTTTAGGTTTCCGGCTTATACGGCGTAATAAGTACAGCAGCGCCCGCAGCAGAGCCCGACAAAACAATGGGCAATGCTGGTCGGCCATCTTCGAGACCCCGAGCGCCGCGTCACCCCCCTAGGCTGCCGAGGAAATGCACTGGTGATCTTGTATACTTTTGCATTTGCTCTCTCTCTCGCTCTCACACACACTCTCTCTCTCTGTGAGTGTGTGTGTGTGTGTGTGGCTCTCGGATTCCCGGTATTGGGGTGTCGAGCGCTTCGGGAGCAAGGTACCATTGCGACCTTGGCCATGCCACCCAACCCTGGGGACAGCAAACGCCAGCCCAGAGCTTGATTGATTAATAACTTGCGCGCCTGCTGGGTTGCCTGATGCCCTTTTCAGTCCTGGTGGTGGTGATGGCATCTTTTTGGTGCCGAGGACCGCTTACCACCCACCGTTTACTTTCAGGCAGACCCGGCGGCGGCGCCCCCCCCCCCCCCCCCCCTTCCACCAAACCAACGTGTAGGCGAAAAGGCAAAACGGATACAGGCAAGTGGGCAAGAAAAGCAGTGAGCCCGCCAGATGGAGAATCCCATAGGGTCAAGCAGGGGGGGCTAAGGGGGCGGGCGTGACGGCGGAGGACGCAACGTGGTGGCTGAGCCTGACGTTGGCAACCCCCTCCCCTAAACGGCAGCTCTACAGGGCGTTCAACATGCAGGGATCTCCAGGTAAGAGAAAGAGAGGTGTGGAGAAGAGGGCCCAGAAGGGATGCAGGCGGGCTGGTGGTGAGTGAGTGAGTAAGTAAGCCAAGGAAGACCGTACATGTACAGTACAGACTGTTGGCGCCCAGGATGGGGTCGGGGGCTATGCTCTGATTGCGATGCCGACGCCGCGGGTCGTGCCGTGCGCGCGGCTGGACTTGCTGTGCATCTGCTCGCTGTTACTGTCTGTCTGTGTGCATGTCTGTTGGTCTCTCTGTCAATCTGCCGATCCGACTCGTTCAACCCAAGGCGAGGTACAAGGGAGGGCGATCATGTTCCATGACAGGGTGAAACGGGCGCGAGAGAAGCTTCCACTCGCTCCATGCTGGGGGACGTACAGTACGGCAGAGAGAGAGAGAGAGAGAGAGATGAAGCGATCGAACGTCGCAACCGTCTGCGGTAAAAGTGAGATGGTGCAAGCCGTCAGACTCAGAGACACATGTTGCCAAGCGGCCAGGCGGACACTCATGACGTTGTGAGATTTCGCTGCGCCACTACCCACGCGTGGACAGGACAGAGACCTGACAGAGACAGGACAGAGACAAGCTCGAAGAGAGCAGATACCCTGATGGCTTCAGGGCAGAACACACGATAGTTGGAAAGGACTAATAGAGGCAGCGGAAACGGAGGATCACACACAAACACGGAGAGAGGGAAGTGCTGTGCTCTTCCGTGCAGTGTCTTGTCTGCGACGTGCCGCCCGCGAGTGCCGAAGGGAGCCCGTCGACTGCCGAGCATAGAGTTCCCCCGACAAGATTAGATTTTCAGAATGATACAGAGAATCCAAATGCAAACCCATAGACCGAAAACCTAAAAGCCCCCGAGTCTACCTGGGTCCCCTGACCTGTACATTACGCGTTGGGCCTCTCTGAGAAGAGAGGGGGGGGGGGGTTCCCCCTTGGAGAGAAATGCTGTGCCCCGGAAGCCCGGACGCTACGCCTCTTCGTACTCTGCCCTTCTCTCTTTCGCTTCCTCTTCGCATCGGATTCGGCATCGGCCCTCTGTCGTCTGTCCAAAGTCCGCGACCCCGTCGGTCTAAAGAAGAGGCGCCCCGCCCTTCGCCTTGGTGTGTGCCTGGTGCTTGACCTCATCGAGCTTTCTCAGCCTAAGACTCCATCCCATATCACACAAGCTTATGACCGCATCTTGCACCATACCAACCTCATACGCTTTCCTACCTCTGCAACAGCAACACCGCACAAAGAGACTTGAAAAACACATCGCCCTGTAGAGGAGAAGCTCGAGACCGGAACGATACGCAGACCGATGCATCCGCCGCCATAATGTCGCTGCAATTTCTGCTCAACTCGGAGGACAGTGAGGACCGGAGCGCAGAGTGGTATCTCGCCAACACACGAGTCGAGACGGACGTATACGGCTACAGCAGAGGACACGGCCACGGCGACAGCAGCACAAGGTCCGTTTTGTCTTGGGTGCTTCGTGTTTCACGAACTTTTTCTTCATTTGGCTGTGTGAAAAAAAAAACCAAAAACTGACGATATCGCAGCACATCCACATCCACATCTCTGGGGTCGCGCGCCCCAACATCCCCAGTCAGCAGGCAATGGACGCCGTTGAAGCCGGGATCCAGCCACTCGACATGCGGCGGCCTGTCGCCGGGCAGCGACCAAGGCGGCTATCCCACGTCGCCGGCCTCGTCCATGGGTCGATCTCACTCCAGCCGGCTCTCGCTGCGGCGACTCTCCCGAGCCGTCAGTCTCGACGACGAAGACTCGGCCGACGACGAGACGTGCGAGACGGTCTGCTACGGCATGGTGAGAGCCTCTTCCTTCCTCTCCCAGCGAAACATGATTTCATATCGATTGAAGCCCGCAATACTGACTCGCGCCTGTGCCCCCCCTCCAGATTCACAAATTGATGTCAAGCTCATGGGCGATCTCACCGCGATCGCCAAGAAATTGAAGCAGAACGGCCCCGGGCTCGTCCACCTCGTCATCCTCTTCCTCCTTCATCAAGGCAGCAAAAGAACTTCATTCGTCACGGAGCAACCCGGACCACATCCTTCCTCAGCTTC